GAGGGGGGTGGGGGGGGGCATGCAGCCGATCAGTGATTCTCTCTCATTGATGTTTCTATCTCTCCCTCTCACTTCCTCTCAAATCAACAAGAAAAAAATATGTATTTTTTAAATGTCCTTTTGGTAGGCTTAGTCACTTAGAAAATTTTTAGCATATGCAGATTCCATAAAACACTCGCGTAGGCTAGGTTCATGAGTTTGTGGCATCTGATCTCGTTTATCTAAGGGCTAGGCTGGTGCCCGGGAGGTATATAGCATGGTGGTAGGTGTTTGGACTTGGAGCCACCAGGCCTGCTGTCCTAGCTTTGTTACTTCATAGTCATGTGACTTTGGACAGATTGCTTAATGGTTTGAGCCTCCATTTTCTCATCAGTAAACAGGAATGATTATCAGAGAGCTTATCTCCCAAGGCTGTGCTTCTTAAAGCATGGTCTCCAAACCAGCAGCTTCAACATCACTTGCTAGAAAAATAAACTCTGAGGCCCCAGCTTAGAGCACCTAAACTCTGGGGGCAGGGCCAGCAATTCATTTTAACTAGCCTTCCAAGGGACATCGTTTGAGAGCCACTGGCCTAGGGGCAGGCAGCCATTTAGCCTGTGTCTGGCGCACAGTGAATGCTCAATTAGTGGCTGCTGGTGCACCATAGGCGTTTAGTTTTTTAAAAAACAGAGAAACTGTAATGCCAGGAATATGCTAAATTCAATAAAAGGGAAGCAGACCATGCGCTTTGGGTGCAGAGTTGAGCAGTGTAAGCTCATGTACCCCGGAGATAAAGGAAAAGGCTGAGTTCAGACCTGAAAGCCAGTGACACTGGCCAGCAGCGGACTGAGCACAGGTGGCCACAGGAGAGTCTCAGGGCAGGGTCACCTGTGGAATTGGGTCCAAGTGTTTGGGGGTGAGGGAGAGGAGTGAAGAGCTGAGAAAGTGATAAGACCTTGTAGGAGCTGCAGTGTTCCACCGAGGAGATTGAACTTGTTTGAGGTGCTCTCAGAGTTTTTAGCACAGAAGGGATGTTGGCCCACCTGTATTTGAGAATGGCTCTCTTTGGATTCCGGAAAGAAGAGGCGAGACTAGAGTGAGTGAGGAGGCTGGGGCAGGAGTTGAGGCAAGAGTTGACTCAGAGTGGTGACAGGGGGAATGGAGAGAAAGGGATCCAGTTGGTGACTTTACTAATCATGGAAGGAGAGGAAAGTGGGAGAGCAGCCTACACTGGCAGTCCTGGTAGGGATGTCATTTGTTAGATGAGTGACTATATATTGAGCACCTATGTCCCAATTGTTGGGGTTAAAGCAAGAACAAGACAAACAAAAATTCTTGCCTCATGGAACCGACACGAGTGGAAGGAGAGGGGGAAAAAATATATGCCAGATGGTGGGAAAGCAGGGAAAAATAATATTGTGGAATATTACAGTTTCAAGTGGAGTCATCATGGCAGGCCTCACTGAGGAGGCAGTGTGAGCAATGAACAGATGAGATGAGGACAAGAGCAAGCTACGCAGATAGCACCAGCCAAGGCTCACACAGTGGCAGCAGATTTAGGGGGTGGTGAGGAATATGGGTATGTAAACATAGCTGGTCTGGGGGCCTAGGTGCAGGAATGGAAGCAGAGGGGTGTGCTGACCTTTGATCTGCCTGCCCAGGGCAAACGGAGAGCCGTGGGCGGCTGCAGGGGGTAGCAGAGCTGCGCTTGGCAGGCCTAGAGCTGACAGATGCCTCCCTGCGACTCCTGCTGCGCCACGCGCCCCAGCTGAGCGCCCTGGACCTCAGCCACTGCGCCCATGTCGGGGACCCCAGTGTTCATCTCCTCACGGCCCCCACCTCCCCACTTCGAGAGACCCTGGTACACCTCAATCTTGCTGGTAAGCATGGTCCCCTGTCTGTCCTTCCTGCTAGCCTGTTGATTCCCATGACCAGTGCCCACACCCTACTCACTCTCCTGGTGTTGGCTACCATTACCCTATCCCCAGGTTGCCACCGCCTCACTGACCATTGCCTTCCGCTGTTCCGCCGCTGCCCTCGCCTACGCCGCCTAGACCTGCGCTCCTGCCGCCAGCTCTCACCTGAAGCTTGTGCCCGGCTGGCAGCTGCCGGGCCTCCTGGCCCCTTCCGCTGCCCAGAGGAGAAGTTGCTTCTCAAGGACAGCTAGTTGGGTGCCTCCCCCTGCCCCCAACTCTTCAGGAGCCTGGACCTCCGGCCTTCATTTCACTCCTGCCAGGAGGCCAGGTTACCCACCTCATGACTTGGGATTCCTGAGTTTTCCGACTTGGGATTCCTGCCCAGGGACTTGAGCCAGCCTCCCCACTCTGCCCCCTGCACTGATATTTCTGGGGGTCTCTTTCCCATCCCCTCCCCCTTCCACCTGCTTCATTGTCCATCCCCTGGGGGGAGTGGGTCAGAGGTACTGGGGTTGCTGAGCCAAAGGGATGGTGGGCGGGGGGTAAGGTGCAAGTTTGAGGGAGGGAGAATGGGGGAAACACATCTGCATACAGGATACTGGGAGCCAGGGGCTGGGGGAGGTGGAGGATGGGCTGGGGGAGGGGGGCAGAAAGCAGACCAGCAAGGGTGCAGGGAACAGACCAGATACTTGGAGTTGGGGGGTGGAGGAGCAAAAAGGGAAACCAGAGGAGCAATTGGGAGTCCAGGTGTCAGAGGTGGGGATACTCGGGGAACCAGGGAAAGCCAGGGCTAAGGAAGGGGTGAGGGGCGAGAGCAGGTGTGGGGGCAGTAGCACTCCCTCGGGGGGTTACTCCTCCTCTTACTCCCCAGTTTCAGTTCCTTCCCCCAACCCTGACTCCTTGAAAGTCACTGACAATGGCAGCTATTGCGAGGAGTGGGGGCCAGCTGGCCTATCTGCTGTTCAGCGTGGCCCAGGGGAGTGGTGAGGGGTACCCCAGCCCCCTACCTGCCTCCCCGTTCAATACTTGAACATTCATCTGTACTGAAGTGTTACTTGAACCTGGGGAATCTCGGACTCGGGGGAGCTGGAGTGTGAGGGCCGGACCGCTTGGACTGAGACTGGACCGGTGGGCGCTGCGCCACCACCAGGCTCTTTCTTGCTTTACTGTATTGAGCAGTTCCACCCCTCCTGACCTGAGGTGGAGTGGGGTGCCATCCCAGCGATGGGGAAGATGAGACTCCTTCAGTTTGGCTCTTCCCACTCATCGTCATGGAAACTTGTATCCCATTTGCCCAGGGAACTGCCACTCCTGGTTGCCATGGAAATAGCAGCCAATGGACACGTCCCAAAGCCAGGGCTAAGGCTGGTAATGGCCCCTCTTGGTTGCCGTGGGAACTTAGTAACAGTCTTGGCCCACCCCTGCCCCTTCCTCCAGTGTGGGGGCGGGGTTAGGGGAGCCGGGGCCCGCCCCTCAGCCCAGGCCTCGGGGTAGCTGGGTTGTACCATGTAGGGGAGGGGGGAATTTATCCACATACCTCAGGTAACAGGGAGGTGCGCGGGTGGGGGGAGGGACTGGGCGGATCAGAGGTCGACGGGAGGGGGTCCTGGGGGTCGCGCAGGCTTGGGGTGGGGGCCGCTGGGGGAAGGGGGAAGAGGCAGCCTGGCGGGGGGCACGTGGGGGACCCAGCCGGGGCTGGGCCCCGGGTCTGTACTATATGGTTTGCTATAAAACTCAAAATCTTCCAGCTGGGGTGACTGAGTTCCTGTGTCTGTGCGGCGTCGGGAGAGGGGGGTAGGGCAGGGAGGACCTGAGTGCTTACCCTTGGGGGCTCTCGGAGGCAGGGCTGTTGGGGTGCACTGGGAGCCTTGGACACCCCTGGCTCCCGGAACTGAGTTCACACGGCCCCCTCCAGCAGATGGGCTCACCTCTCCCGAGTGTACAGTTTAGGTGGAGGACCGGAGCTCTGGGTACGTCCGGATGCACTAGGAGTGGTCCAGGGGCCGGGAACTCCCAGGCGCAGGCGGGGTTGGTAACCTCAGTGGAGCTAGGGCGCCTGCATGACATTCTAGCTGGACTCGTGTCACAGGGGTCCCTGGAGATCTCTGCGGACGCCCCCGGGCTCCACCCCATCATGTGGCCGCCCCGGCTCCGCCTCTGCCCCAGTTCCTGTTTCGGCCTCTGCTGTCCCGCTTCGGCCCCCAGGGCTCCCGGCAGACGCCTACTCTTTCTGCTCAGTCCCGCCTGCCTCTTCCTGGGCACCTGCCGCCCACATCTCGGCTCGCCCCGCGGGGGGATGGGGTCTCTTCCCGGCCTGGACCGACCCTCCTGGACGCCCCGAGGCTACTCGACCC